TCTTCTTATCGGCTAAGGCTTGCGGACTTAAGTTTCTTCTATTTTTCTTAAATTTGTGGTCTCACCATCTAATTCGTTTAATCATCATGTAATATGAACAAGCTGTCATAATATTTGTTTCTGAAGTTGATCTTTCCCGTTTTTTCCGTATTATTAGTATCTCCAACATAATAACCTTCCCCTCCCCGTCAATTCAATAGTTGAAAATTGTTCCTTTAGTTTTATATTAATTTTTCCATTTTTCTTTAACTATTTATGCAGGCCGCGGCGGTGCGCGGCGACAATGTATGCCTGGCAGGGTCGCCATGTAATATAGGAAAGATGTCAAATGAAGAAGACGTGTGGTTGGTACTAAATCTTTAATTAGACTGCTCTCTCACACCATAAGAGTAAGTACATTTATTAATATATGCTAGTAGGGTGGAGGCACATACACTAGAGTCGCAATAGGTTCAGCTGTTCCAAACAGTAGCCCGGACAGACATAGACTGCTAGATAATTTAAGTAAATGGTTGTTTATGTCTTAATGTCATGAAAATAAACCCTAAACTCAATAAAAGCCAGTCATTCCAATAATACAGAGAAACACTTCAATTTATATGTATGTATGTATACGATGATAATTTTATCAAAGTGAAATAGACGGAATAATTAATTCACAACGTCCACAGATCTCGGATCAGCGTTCAGGAAACTACGACGCATCTTCTCGTCAGGTATACCTCAAAACCTGAAAACTAAGTTGTACAACCAGTGAGTGTTGCCAGTGATGACCTACGGAACCAAGACGTAAGGTCCATTTCACTGCTGGCCGTATGACGACGCTCAAAGTCGCTCAGCGAGCTATGGAGAGGGCTATGCTCGGAGTTTCTTTACGTGATAGACTTAGAAATGAGAATATCCGCAGTAGAACCAGAGTGACCGACATAGCCCAACGGATTAGTAAGCTGAAGTGGCAGTGGGCTGGACATATAGCTCGAAGATCCGACAACCATTGGGGAAAAAAGGTTCTCCAGTGGCAGCCTCGTACCGGTAGTGGCGCACTTCGTGTGACAGACATGCAGGAAGTCGATGGATGCAGGTGGCTCAGGACCGTGGTTTGTGGCATACCTTGGGGGAGGCCTATGTTCAGCAGTGGACTTGTGAAGGGCTGTAAATGATGATGATGATGTCCACAGATATGAATTTCAAACGTGAATATTAATGTGTATGAAATTCAACTCAACGAACTGAGTTTAGTTACCTGGTGCGACAATGAATATGCATTACATGGACACAGTATGAAATAGCTCTCAGTCCTCTCATCGCAGCCAAGATCCGTAAGTTATACGTTAGCGTCCCTTACTTGTTGTGATGTCTCGTTGGTTTAATGGTCGTAAACTGATTTGGTCTCTCACTTGAAGGTAAGCGGATGCTGTGACTCATAGACATACTTGATTAAAAATTAAATGCGTTGTTACCACTGAAGGCTAAGGTGGAATGCCTCGTCTCCAGTAGAAAGCGGAGACTCTTTTCCACACACACCATACAATACGCAGCTGCATTATTATACATTATTTCCCGATCGAGCCGACCAGTTCGTGCTGCAATCATAATACGGCTGCACCGTGGCTCTCAGAAAGAAACAGACATACATACACATAGGTACATGCACTCGAACAACATTACCCTCCTTTTGGAGCCGTCAGGTAAAAGGGCATTTTTTTATTTGTTTGTAGTGGGCAATATCACGTTGTCCACTATAGTAAATTTTTTCCTACCTAAAATTGAATCCCGCTCTCTAGTTAAATCTTGTTTCTTAAAGAAATTGGAATATCAGGCATTCTAAATTACCATTTATATTATAATTTTACCATAAATTATAAGAAAAACTTAAAATTGGTTTGAGAATTTCTATTTTTTTCACTGTCCCATCTTGTTCATGTCAGACATTTTACCTCGCTGTTTCAATTAGAATCACGATATTTTTACATTTACGGTGTCATTACAAGAAACGCAAGCTCACTTTCAATTTTAATTAATAAAGTTTTAATCAATATTTTAAAATGTAATGAAATAAACAGTTTAGTGAATGGTTTAAAAGTTGGGCATGGTGGAAAATTCCGCTGAGTTACGCTTATATTTCCAGGAGAATATCTAAATCTACTGCAATAGTATTATTATCATAAACTAGCAACCCTACAATGGTTGGTTCACAATAAGTCAGCCATTTTGAATTCACAGTTCGAATGTAACATCGTAAGAACTTAGTATAGTACCGGTTAGTGCGTGTTAAAAATTCAGCTGATTTACGAAGATTCCATAGTAAGTACGCTTGTTTCACAGTTTCAAAGAGTATTTATTAGACGTATAATTTACTATTTGATAAATAATGCAACAGTTTGACTGAATTAGACTTGTCTTTTGACGAATTTTTTAAAAAAATCAGCCTTAATTTAAAATCCGTTACGTCAGCTGAGAAACATTCACTCAGTGGATAGGTTTTCGTAACTCAGTGGAACGTAAGCCCTCATTTACACTGAGTTTTATTAAGTACCTAGTAAAACAATTTCATATCAATTATATTTGAACGTAATTTTGTTCTGCATCTTTTTATACAGCCTGCGCACCAGCCGAGGCTTCAAGCTATATGTTTTTTTATTGAATTGTTTCTACACACGCGAAGTTGCTATGTTTGTTTTAAAGCTGAAAGATTAAGTAATACTTTTAACATCATCCGTAATGTAATTTTTGTATTATGTACGTACTTTAATTGACATCGATCGGCAGGCGACCGCTAGACAGTAATTTGAATTTTATATTAAACAAGCGGCGAACTGCGACTTTGTCTTTCAACCGTTTCAGCGTGATTGAATAACGAACAAACATTCATACTCTCGCATTTATTATATCAGTAGGATTTAATCATTTAAATTGGTTTATTAGGTGTGAAAATGGCTCTAACTCCTGCGGAACGCATGAAAAAATATAGAGAGAAGTTGAAAGCAGATCCACAAAAATACGAAGAAGTCAAGAAAAAACATGTAGCAAGAGTAAAAAATAAAACTAAGAAGACATTTGAGCTAACAGAATTCGAGAAAGAAAAAAGGCGGAAAAAATGGAGAGAGCAGAAACGGAAGCAGAAGAAAAATAAAACTCAGGGTAAAAATGAAAAAAATATAGTATCATCTACTGTGAATACTCGAAATAAGAAGAGGACGTTAAGAAATAGATTAGCCCGTAAATATAATGCCGCCATAAAAAAAATTCAAAATTTGAAAACAGCACTTGAGACGTCAAGAAAACGCCTATATCGCTATAAAAAAGAAACGAATAAAAAAGTTCAAAGTCTAGAAGAAACTATTAGTAAAATGAAAGCTAGAGATGAGCTGTTAGAGAGTTGTTTGAAAACGTCATACGAAAAGTGTAAGAAATACGAAGAAAGGAATGTTTTTAAAACATTAACTGAAAATGAAGCCACAAAGAAATTAAAAAAGAAGACATTTGTTTCTAAACTATTAGGTTTAAAGGGAATAGCACGAAAAGCAGCTAAAAAAACAAAAGAAAATGAAATATGCAAAGAAATACGAAGTTTTTTCTTGAGAGATGATATAAGCAAAAGTACGTCTGGGAAAAAAGAGTGCCGCACATTGAAAAAACAAAATGCACAGATTAGATATCTTACCGATACGCTATTTAATCTATATCAGATTTATCGAGCAGAGGGCGGAACAAAATCGTTTGCCACATTTTATAAATATCGACCTTTTTATGTTTTATCGCCTACTGTACAGAAAAGAGATACTTGCATCTGTATCAAACATAGCAATTTTGAAAAAATGTTCTCTGTACTACAAAGACTTGGAGTATTGTCAAAATATAAAGTACTAGAAAGTCTTTTGGCTCATTTCACGTGTGATATTAAATCAAAAAAATGTATGTATGGTGAATGTGGTACATGTAAACTACAAGAATTGCAGTACGATTTAAAAGACAGACAGATAAATGAAGAAATAGAATGGGAACAGTGGGAGAACATAAATCATGAATATATAGACACTAAAAAGGAAAATAATAAAACTGTAAAAACAAAGCGAATGGCGAAAGTAAGAAAAACAGGGACCGTGGAAACATTAATTCAGAATTTTAAATGTAATATACCGATTTTCAAAAAACATTATTACAATTGGAAACATCAGCAACACCAGTACCGAAAGTGTATAACCGAACTCAAAGAAAATGAAGCCGTACTACTCTGTGACTTCTCAGAAAATTACTGTGGTAAACTAGCCGAGGAAGTACAATCTATGCATTTCGGTGCCGCGAAACAACAATTTACCCTACATACAGGGATGATTTACTGGGCTGGAGGTTCACAATCATTCTGCAGTATTGCTGATAAAAACGCCCATGATCCAGCAGCTATATGGGCTCACCTTTTGCCAGTCATAAAGTTAGCCAAAGAGTACAATCCTTTACTTAAGGTTATTCACTTTTACTCAGATGGTCCGTGTACTCAGTACAGGCAAAAGAAAAATTTATTTTTACACAATTTATTTACCTTTAAACTAGGCCTTGAGTACTCAACATGGTCATTCACCGAGAGTGGACATGGAAAATCGGTAGCAGATGGAATAGGTGGTGCAGTAAAGAGGTGCCTGGAGAAACAGGTAGCTTATGGTAATGATGTTTCCTGTGGTGAGCAAGCTGTAAAGATATTGTCAAAATGCATGAAGTCAGTGAAATGTCTTTATATATTTGACAATGATATAGACAACATAAATAAACTGGTTTCTGAAAACTTGAAGCCTTTGACAGGCACTATGCAGACACACCAAGTTATTGTTAAATTACCTGGAGAAATTCAATATCGCCCACTATCTTGTTTTTGTGGCTTCCACAGAGGATTGTGTGATTGTTTTGGTTTATTTACTCATACCTACGGAAAACCAATCCAAAAAACTGAACCGAGTTGCTCTAATCATACTAGTAAAGTAACAATAACAGCTGAAATTCATGCGATGCCAATCGTTAGTTCAAAAAAAGTTGTATCTGTCCCGTCCAAACAAACACATAAAATTACTACGAATTGTGGGGAAGAGGAAGACATTATAGAAGTAGAAATGGTTAGCGACAATGGACAGGAAAAGGAAAAACAAGAGAGAGTAGAAGAAATTTATTCTGCAACATTTAAATGTAGAGAAAAGGATAAAGAAAAAATAGGCAAAGAAGTCAGTGGTGAGATAATAGGATCGGAAGAAAAAAAGGAACAAGACAAAGGATACGAGATCAATGGTGCGGCATTTGATTCAATTAAACTAATTCCTTTAGATAAAGATTTGTTATTTGATTTAAATAATATTGAAGAAATATGTGATAATCTAGAAGTTTTGGACGAGACAGGCGTCAATTTCGACGACAGCAAACATAAAATAACCAATAGAAAGCGAAATTGCATTCAAGAAGAGAAGTGGGAAATTAAAGCACAAAAGATACCTAAATTAAATACAGAAAAAAAAATATTTTTCCAATAAATCAGACAAAGTCTATTAGAAATGTCGTCAGTCGTCACTCTGAGTGCCATAAATGTAAAATTCGAACATCATTGCAATTAATGAAAAAATGTATTGCATGTAAAAATTTTGTTTGTTTTACTTACGATAGTTGGATTATACCCAAAGATTGTTACAACGATTTTATTTGTGATATTTGTTTTGGTGCGTAGACCTTTAATAATTTCGTTTTCTCTTTATTTTTTATGGTACATAAAGTATTTATTGTAAACTATGCCTAAAATTTTCCATACACTTCCACTGAGTGACAGTCCCCTGTTGAGGCAACTTATTTTATTTAATGTTTTTATTGTTAAATAAAGAAGATCTCATATATGTAATTAATATTAACCTTCTAGATACTTGTATTTAATTACTTATTTAAGTTTTAATTTAGATCTCGTTTTTTGCCAAATAAACAAAACTTTATTACGTTAATTTAATCATAGTGTAACTCAGAAGATAGAAAATTATGTTTCTTTTTATGTTTGAATAATGTTTTAGAAATTTTAGAGAGAATTTAAAATAATATGTTTAGTATACAACTATATAAATTTAAAATAATATATTTAATAAATAACGATTGTTAATTGTATTTTTCTTTTAATTTACCTATAAACGGGAGTACTTAATGTGTAACGCAGCGGAAGAAGATATCAGGTCATTGTCCATTCAAATTGCAATTTTGTCAAATTCTACCGTATTTTGTCTTATTCTTTGTTATTATAACAAAATTTAGATATTATAGAGTCAATCTGAAGTAAGAAACCCCCAATATCATGACAAATTTTTTTTTTGGCGTCATTTTGTCACCATACAAACTTTTATAAAACCGCCCAAAAACATTAACTTGCACAGAATTCTTTATTAAAGTGAAATAAATTCAAATGTATAAATGCTTGCAATGCTACGGGCGTAAATCGTTTTCAAATAAACATTTAATGAATGAAAAACTGGTGTAGTCTCTCGTGTGGTTTTCAGCGGGGAGATTAGTAGGTGGAAATCCAAGAGAATAACTCTAAGCTCGGTATAACACGCCACTTAGAGTTAAACACAAACTTTTACGAAATATTACTCACTATATTAACACGTGCATAGCGTAATAGCAAGGCTTATAAATCGGTGTCATATTTCAATAGTGTCCCGATTATTGATCTGGTTAAAGCATTTTGATCTAGGATACCGTTTCCAAAATACCGAAGTTTTGCTCAAAGAAAGAAGGTAAACAAAAGTTCTAGCTTCGGGACTTAATACTGGTTCCTTAACAGTATTTTTGGAATTATTTCAATACCTGCCTTTTCAATTAAAGTAAATAGCTAATTACTTACGACGCAAGTCCAGGGTTACAATCATAGCGGGAGACGGCGTTTAAATTGTTGTGATGGGTCCTTCTAACCACATGTTATGCCGTAGTTTAAAGAAATAAAACGGCTGATTATGATGGCAATTAATATCCATAAATTATTTATGATAGAAGGCTGTGAGGCATTGCATCTTAGTCCTCAGTGGTGACAACACATCTGTAGTCTTTAGAGGCAAATTCACCTCTGAAAAAATGGAGAAGAGGTGTGTTGTTCATATGCGGAGCAAGTATAAGTACAAGCTGTGAGGCTTACCATTTCTGTTCTCAGAGGTGACGATGCAGCCTTCTTAGCTTGAAGCTGTAAGTAGCAATCGACCGATTCATAACTAGTACTTCTAAGTGCTCGTTTTTCCTGGCCCCATGGCCTTCGCGCATCGGACGCGGGGGCGTCTGTTGCGCAGATGCAATTGGAGGCCGTGGAGGAAGGCGTGCCATGTGTTCTGGTGCGCCTTACTTGGGAAGGAGAACGGGGGGGGAATATTCCTCTTCCGAGGAGGTGCTGCCATGGGGCGGCAGTCGCTGGTAGGGCCGCGGAAGTGTGCGAAAGCGTTCCCGTAGCCCTGCCAATATGCGACGAAGGTGGAACACCATAGGGTTTTAGTCGGTGCGAGTCCGACATAACCCGTCCTTGCCCCCGCGAGGCGGGTATGCGTAGGCATTTCCCCATGTTAAAAAAAAAGGGTAAGAAATTGTGTAATAAGAGAAGAGTGTGGTTTGCAAGATGATGTTGTGACCAGGATTAAGAAAGGAATGCTTCGGTGGTTTGGTCATGTGGAAAGAATGAATGAGGAAAGAGTGACAAAGAAAATTTATGTTGCAGAAGTGAATGGCAGAGTCGGAAAGGGACGTCCTAGGCGAAATTTTATCGACCAAATTGGTGATTTATTGAAAACGGGCCAAATTAGGAGTACCCTTAACCGACGAGTATGTATGCGTAGGTGTATGGATGTGAAGGAGGCGAGAGAGGTGTGTCAGGATCGTGCCAAATGGAAGTCTGTAGTCTCTGCCTACCCCTCTGGGTGACAGGCGTGAGTGTTTATGTATGTAATATCTATGTTTGAGGTACCAACCGTGTAGCGACGGTGCAAAATCTAGCACTATCTACTACTCCAAATCGTAAGCACGTGTCGTAAGTAATGACAGAGGGATACTAACCAGGGGATAGGAAGAGTCTTTCTAACAGCAATTAGGAAAAAAATTGTGCTTGCAAGCACATTGGTCAAGCGTGGCGACTATCACAACTATCCTTATAAGGCATAAATCTTAGAAACTATAATATACATGTCTACGAACCTAATGCAAGAACTACTGCAAAAAATATTGTTTAGGTGCAAATTGTGAAATAAATTATTTTCATTTTCATAATTGTTATGGCCCTCAGTTACCCCGGCAAAAGTCGACAGAATTAGGGTCCATCAGTAATCCAACTCGACGAGCAACCGATGGGAGGGCCCAATTGCCTATGGATAATTAATTTATAACCAGGTGTAGTCGACCAAAAGGCACCGTCAGGGGCAAGTAAATGATATGTGTGAGTGGTGTAGGAAAGTGTGTAATGTAACCTGACGTCACCGATGTAATCGTTCAGCAGGGCCACATACGTTGCCACGCTCCACAAGACGCAATCGCTTTAGAGGGCGCCTACTGTTACCAGACTAACAGGCGCGGTCGCAGGTCGCAAGACGCAAACCCCCTTTGCAACCCGCCAACCGGTTCATCGCCCGGAATGAGCGCCTTGCAAGTTGTAGCTTGCTACGAATTTGGCATAAACAGCTATATTATTAGTATAGTTCTAGCACTAATGGGTCTGCTCAACCGGGGTAGGACACTCCCTCACACAATACCAGCGTAAAATAGAAGCTTATTACTGCTGTGTCTCGTATGGTGAATGTAGACACGGAGACCCTTTTTTATTGGAAACGAGGCATTCTATCTTAGTCCTAACGGACGACAGTGTATCCGTATTTCGATTCGTAATTGAGGATTGATGTGTATGTCTATGGTCCACAGCAACCACTTACCATCAGGTAGACTGTGTGCACGATTGTCACCCTTATCCTATAAAAAGCAGGGTGATGTTTTTCGAGAATATGTGTGTATGTATGTCTATTTCTTTGGCACGCTCTGTGACCAAAACGGCTTGATGGGTTTTAACATAATATGAGGCGTCGTAATATTAGTCTTAATTGTGGGAGTCACGTGGGATATAAATTTATTCTCTTTTCAGTATACTTTTTACGCAGTCGGATTATTCAATCACTGTTTTAACCTTTAATCTTCTTTAAAATAATCACCCATGACCATTTATTTATCAGTTATTCGATTTGAAAGGTTAGCCTAGATCACACTTAACAAAGCTTTACTGTATGTTTGTTAAGTTTCGCCGTTCCGAAGATAAATCTGGACGAACAGACAGATAGAGAAAAATTTTTTTCATGCCTAAATGATATGCAAATAACCCCTTGATCTCGATAAAATGTAATTATTTCGATAGTATTAACAGACATATCAATTTTATTTACTTATATAGATTATGGTAGGTGCGTACACAATTTTAACTAGATCCAAAAACTAGCTATAAATTACCGAACAGTCCACCAAGAGCGTTTTATGTCCAGTTACGGCTACAGTGAACACGACGACCGATTGCCTCACAATTCATTGGATTTTATCTTGATCGCGTAAGCCGCAAATGGAACCAAATTGTTCAAATCGTGCTTACAGCAACTATGCATTTGGAGTTTCATGTAGAAACTAAATATATATGGAAATATCACCAGGTAATAGGTTTCTTATACACTTAATTGTGGCTACATTATTAATTACTTCTAGTTTTTTTTAATAAGGGTGACAAACGAGCTCACAATCCACCTGATGGCAAGTGGATGCTGTGTCATATTACATATAGACTACGAGTATATCTATTCTCAGTTAACAATCAATAATGCAGATGCTTTGCCTAAACTGAAATGCCTCGTTTCCGGTAAAAACGTTTGCCTTTCTACATTCACCATACGAAACACAACAGCATTAAGCTGCTATTTTATTTATTTTATTTGTAGGCCCATGTCCAACAGTGGACTTGTGCGGGTAGATAAACAACAATGAATGGCCGGCCGGTTGCCACTTCAGCTTATTGATCCGTTGGGCTGTACAAATTTGGTTCTACTGCGGATTTCACCCTTTCGAAGTCTATCTCTCAGAGAAACTCCAAACATAACCCTCGCCATGGTTTGTCTAGTGACCTTGAGCTTTTTCATACAGCCGGCAATGAAAGACCAAATCTTAAATTCATATGTTATCATTAATAAGTATATAAAAAAAACTTTTGGTAAATCCAAATATGCATGCCTTAAGCGCTCATGTTTACATTAATGTTTTAAAGTATTTTAAAACCACACAAGTTTTCACAAATATCCATATTACTATTAATTCTTATTTTTCGATAATTTCATGTCAAACTTCAATAAAAAAAAGTTTGGAAAATCCAAAAGCGCACAACTTATAATCGTGATCATAAGATCTTAAGATCATGAGATCTACTTATAATCGCGCTCATATGATCGTGAAAAAGTGTAGAAAAAAATCTCAAAGAACAAAAGAAAATATTTTCTTAAAT